ACCAGGCTGGCCTCAAACTCACAGAGATCTGCCTGTCTCTGCCTTCCCAAGTGCTGGGATTAAAGACATGCCACCATATCCAGCAAAAATAATCTTAAAAAGAAAATCTCAGCTTTTTGAAATCTTTCCATGCTTAGAGAGGTATTCAGCTCTTTTTTCTTTTAAATTCAGGCTCAAGATATTGAAACCCTAAAGAAGTTTCTTGTGAATAAGAAGCCTCATGTAGTTACTGTTGCAGGAGAGAACAGGTAGGAGCATGAGACTCTGGGCAGGCCTAGTGTGAAGCTGTGACCCAGAGTCACTCATCTTGTTATTGCTTAATCTGGTACATGCCCAGAGCAGAGGCTTTGTGTCTGGGTGTGATGTTGATGCTACAGGGTCTGAGCGATGTGGTTCTTCTTTGCTTTGAAGCTCTTTCCTCCTCACCCCACCTTAGTGGAGAGTATCCATTCCTGAGGAAATGGACCCTTTGACCAATACTCCTCCTCCTTCCAGGGATGCCCAGATGTTGATTGAGGATGTGAAGCGCATAGTACATGAGTTGGACCAGGGCCAACAGCTTTCCTCTATTGGGGTGGAGCTGGTTGACAACGAGTTGGCCATTCTGTATATGAACAGCAAGAAATCCGAGGTAATGCTAATTCCCCACCCCAGAGGCTTATTCTGGCAACTGCTGTGAACCCAGTAAATGCAGGTTGTCAGGGTTAGGACTACATCCTATTAGCTTACCCATACGGAGACTTTCTGGGCTACTAGATATAGTTTAGATTGGCAGCTCCAGAGAGTAAAAGTGATCCTAGGAAGACAGAGGCCCCAAAGGAAATTTTTAAAAAGTGGCTCAAGCCAGAATGGTTTAGATTTCTTCTTTCTTGTCACTGTGGATACCCTAAGGTTCTGTGACTTCCTTTGTTTCTAGGCAGAATTTCGGGATTATCCACCAGTTCTGAGACAAGCCGTCTCTCTAGCCCGGCGTATCCAAGATCCTCTGATAGAATTTGCCCAGGTGTGCAGCTCTGATGAAGACATCCTGTGTCTCAAGTTCCATCCCTTGCAGGTGAGTAGTAGGATCAGCAAGTAAGCCAGGTGGAAAGGGTTGAAAGGCACAGTACCCTTACTTGCTGCTGTGTTGGTAGGAGCACGTTGTGAAAGAGGAGCTGCTCAACGCCTTGTACTGTGAATTCATCAACCGGGTCAACGAGGTTGGGGTTGATGTCAACCGTGCCATCGCCCATCCTTACAGCCAGGCCTTGATCCAGTACGTCTGTGGCCTGGGACCTCGAAAAGGGACCCACTTGCTGAAGGTAGGTTTGGTTTGATTAAAAAATAATCATTTCATTGAGTGTGAAGAACTTTGCCAATACGATTGACAGATCAGAGAGGTAAAGCAGGTTGTTGAGAGCTATTCAGCCAATGAGCTTCAGAGTCAACCTCACTACTATGCTATAGCCTTAAGCCATATTGAGAACAGGAAAAACCAGAAGAGCAATTTTTTCCAGTGCAAACAAAAAGGGATTTCAGATACAGAGAAAACTTCAACAGCATTTGTAATACTATTTTTCCTAACATGAATGATGCTGACTCTAGTCTCTGTTGCAGTACACTTTCAAGCCATACACAGTTACATGTATGTCATTGTCTTTTGGTTTGGTTTGGTTTTTCAAGACAGGGTTTCTTTTTCTGTGAACCCCTGGCTGGCCTGGATCC